AAAAAAAAAAAAAAAAAAAAAAAAAAAAAAAAAAAAAAAATTTAAGAAGTTTGTCCCCCCTCCCCCCCCCCCCCCCCCCCCCCAAAAAAAAAACATTACATTGCATGTAATTGACCCAATTTTGGCACTTGTGAATTTTGTGACCTCAAGAGAAAGTTGAGATTGATTTGCCCATGTGACACTTCTGATGGATGATTAATTGCTGATATTTTGAATATTTTTGTGCAGACATGCTGGGTCCTGCAGTCATTGAGGATAGCACCTCCTCCTTTTTAGTTGTTTAATAGCCTGCTAGCATTCATTGCTTTGTGGCCGGACTGCAGTTCTTTGATCTCCATCCATTCATTGTGAGATCACTTAGTACACTGTCTGTTGTTTAGCATGCATCTTATTATCTTAAGTCCGTAATATATAGAAGTTGACGTAGCCATGCAACCCATCATGTCTGCTCTGCAGATTCAGTTAGATTATGGCTCTCGGAAGGTAGTGAATCTGTGAAATCCTTCTGCCACAGAGGGCTGCAGAGGCTAGGTTATTAAGCACATTCCAAAAGAATAAGAGGTGATCTAACTTGAAACACAAGAGCCTTAGGGGACTTGACAGGGTAGATGTGGAAAGGTTGTTTCTCCTTGTGGGAGAATCTAGGAACAGCGCATAATCTCCAGAATAAGAGGTTGGCCACTTAAAACACTGTTGAGGAGAAATTTCTTTTGTACAAGAATTCTTTACTGTAGAGGGTTGTTGAGGTTGGATTGTCAAGTATATTCAAGGCTAAAATGGACAGATTTTTACTCTCTAAGGGAATCCAGGGTTATGGGGGAAATGGCAGGAAAGTGGATTATCAGATCAGCTGTGATTTCATTGAATGGTGGAGCAGATTTGATGGACTGGATGGCTTACTTTGGCTCCTACATTCATGGTTTTATCATCTTAACTCCGTTTGGTATAGATCCACAGATGTCAACGAGCAGGACCGCTCAGGGTTGACTGGATGTACCTTTTTGTCATGCTTGGGTCAACTTTCCCATACATTAATGTAGTACTTTGTAAATGGAATTAAAATTTTGTATTCGTTTATTGCAAGTTATCTGATAGTACTTACTTTTGTTCAGTTTTTTTCCTATTCAGAAAATTTTGTTTTTTTTTAAATTCCTGGAGCAAAAGTCAGATTGGAATGCTAGCTAATTTGAATAATTGAGACCAATGGAACACAGGGAATGGGAAAATCCAGCATTCAGTCCGGCTATAAAAGTAAATTTGGCCCCTAATTTCAGTTCAACAATGAAGCATGGCCAAAGGGATTATTTTTCCTAATGGTATTGTGTATTTCTTTCTTTTAGTGAAACTCAAACAGAATCTGAAGGTTGAAGATTACGTTGAAGTCCAGTGAAAAGCGTACAGTCCAAACAGCAGTTTTGAGATGGCAGGATTCCTGGACAATTTTCGCTGGCCGGAATTTGAATGTATTGACTGGGGAGAAAGCAGAAATGCAGTTGCTTCTATAGTAGCTGGGGTGTTGGTAAGTTCTGTGAACAGGTAACTATTATTTCAATGCCTCATTTTGGAGATGATTCTAAAATTACTCTTTCCTTCTCAAAAATACTGCACTAGTGATCCACCGCATAGCACAAGAAATGATTTTCTTGAAAGTGTTATACATAAATAATTGTGACATGCTAACAACCTATTTAACACAATCAGTCCCTGTGAAATATAAATATTAACATGAACAAATACTATTTATCATCTTTATCTGCCTGTTACTGGATGTATTTTTCATATCTTATTCAATGCAGTCTTGTGGAGATTTGAGATCCACGAAATGTAGTTTTTATGAAAGGAACCTTTAGCTTCCTCATAACTGTGACCATGACTGAAGTAGAACATCTTTTAATATAGTAAAATATCAGGTGTCACTTCATGCAGATAATGTCGAATTTTGTTTGATAAAGTGACATCAGCTGATATTAGGAAAGGTGACAAAGTTGATTTGAGAAGTAAGTATAAAGGAACAGAGCAAAATTAGGAGGGAATTACAGAGTTTGGTCCCTTTGCAGCTGAAGCAAGATAAGATTTAGGTCCATGGCCCTTCGAGCCTGCTCCATCTTTCGATGAAGTTACAGCTAAATTGATTGCGGTTCAACTTTGCTTTCTATCAAGCCCCTCCCCAAAACCCTTGCCTACCTTATTTATCAAGAATGTATCCAACTTAACCTTGAATAAATTTTGTGATCCTGCCTCTGCTATTCGTCGGAGAAGAGAATTCCACAGATCAATAGCAATCCGAGAGGAGAAAAATTTTCATTTTCACCTTAAAGGGAGACTCCTCATTTATTTTTTTTGGATGGCCCTCTAGTCTTTTCATTAGAGAAAACATCCTTATTTCTTACTTATCAAGTGCCCTGAGGATCTCCAATAAGATCACTCCTTGTTATTGTAAACACTAATGGATGTTGGTTAAACATGTTAAACCTTTCTTCATTAGATATGCCCTTCATCCCAGAACTGAGTCAAATGAACCTTCTTTGAACAGCTTCTAATGCATTTATTTCCTTTTCTATTTAATTTTCTTAAGGAAAGCATAGGTGTACATACAATTGCGAATGCAGTCTCACCAAGGCCTTAAACAACTGTGGCAAAATGCCCTCCTTTTATGTTCTATTTCCCTTGCTGCATTCCATTGACCTTGCCAGTCACTTGCTGTACATGCATGTGATCCATGGTGCCAGAGTACCCAGATTGTTCTGTATCCGAGTTCTGCAGTCTTCTTCACTCTCTCTCAGTATTACCAATTTTCTCCCCACTTACTTAGCTAGTCTGTATCCCTTTTTTACATTCTTTATGTCAACTTGACAGTTACTCTTTGCCTGTCTTGGTGGCAGTTGGCAAACTTAATTGTCATTCTTTACAATCTTTCATTCAAACCATTTGTGTGAACTGCAAATAGTTGAGCTCCCAGCACTGACTTCTGCAGCACTCCATCCTGCAGCTTGGCAACCTGAAAATAACGCACATTTTTTTTTTCGGCTTTCATTTAGCCAACCAATCCTTTTTATCCATTTCTAGTATCCCTACCGGATGAACTCTCATGTCGTGTACTACCTGTTTTGATATGGCATCTTATCAAATGAGCGTTGGCATGACCATCAATGCTGGGAAGAAGAAAACCAGGCCTGTCTGCAGGTGTCCAGAATTAGATGATCATGGAGATTTTGTAGGGCTGGAGGAGATTTATGGAAATGGACAGGGATAGAGCAGCTATTCCGTTCACTTGTCTGAAGAAGAATATATTCTGAAGTGGTTGCAAGAGGAAAACGTTTCCCTTCAGACAGATGTTGGTGGACCGGGAACTAGGGTAGGCAAGTGAGCATGGGAGACAAGTTAGAATGCAGGGAATATTTGAGCTCTGGGTTTAAGATCAAGATTTTGAGGATGCAAGTCTGAGACCAGCCTGGAGGAAACTGGAATAGTTAAGTATAGAGGTAACAAAGGCACAATTGTTTTAACTTTATTGTCACATACTCAAATGCATCACAGTGTCATCTTAGCTACAAAGATACCAAATTTATATGAAACGAAAAAAAGTTAAAGAAATAAATAGTTCAGCATTACAGGTTATAGGAATAAATTAGAAAAATAAAGAACTATAAAAAGTTCAGAATATTAGTCTTCCAAACCTGTTCATGCTGGCACCTTGCCTCAAGGGAGACATCTGTCGCCTCGCCACTGTGTCTCTGCTGAGTAAGCTTGTCAGCTGCTAAAAACAATGTTGTGGAGGTAGTTGTGGTAACAGAGGATATAAGATGAAGAGCTTAACTCCAGGTCAATAAGACTGGCAATTATTGCCATGTTCGGTCTCGAACGAGACTTGCGGAGAGGATACAAAAATATTTTGGCACTGAGGATATCAAGGACTTTTGGGATGGGCTAGGAAAGTAGAGATAATGTACATGATCAGCCATAATAATGAATGGTGGAGCAGATTCAAAGAAATCTTCTATTTCTCATGATCTTTTAAAGTATCAGCATGGATAGGGAATGGAGTTTTTGGCAAGAATCAAAGATAATAGCTTTGGTCTTCCCAGTATTTAATCAGAGGAAATTTCTGCATGCTGGATGTTGAGCAAATAGCATGACTTGAGGTGATGATGTTGAGCTGTGTCCACCATGTACATAGTTACAGTCACACAGCATGAAAGCAGATCCTTTAGTCCAACTGGTCCATGCTAACCAAGTTTCCCAAACTAAACTAGTCCCATTTGTATGCATTTCACCCATATTGCTTTAGACTTTGAGAGAGCAAGAACTGCAGATGCTGGAGTCAGATTGATGAAGGGTGTAAACCCAAAACGTCAACTTTCCTGCTCCTCTGATGCTACCTGATCTGCTGTGTCCCTCTCTCTTTCTTTTTTAGACTTTCCCTTTTCAGGTACCTGTCCAAATGTCTTTTAAATGTTGCAACTGTGGCAGCATGGTGGCTCAGTGGTTAGCACTGCTGCCTCACAGCGCCAGGGACCCTGGTTCGTTTCCACCCACGGGCGACTGTCTGTGTGGAGTTTGCACATTCTCCTCGTGTCTTCTTGGGTTTCCTCCAGGTGCTCCGGTTTCCTCCCATAGTCCAAAGATGTGCAGGCTGGGTGAATTAGCCATGCTAAATTGCCCATAGTGTTCAGGGATGTGTAGATTTAGGTGGGTTCTAGGAGGATGGGTCTGGGTGGAATGCTCCGAGCGTCAGTGTGGACTTGTTGGGCCAAAGGGTCTGTTCTCACACTTTAGGGATTCTATGATTCAAATACGAACCACCCTTTGTGTGAAAAAGATGCCCCTTGGGTCCTGTTTAAATCTTTTTCCTTTCACCTTTAAAATTATGCCCTTGTATTTCAAACTCCCCTAGCCTAGGGAAAAGACCTTGGCTATTCACCCTATCGATACCTGTCATGAATTTATACATCTCCACAAGGTCACTCCTCAACCTTATATGCTCTATTGAAGATAGTCCCAGCCTCTCCAGCTTACTTTATTCTCCTCCAGATCCTTTATATAAATAGCAAACAGCAGTGGACCCAGCACTGGTCCTTGCAGAACTCTGCTGGCTACTGACCTCCAGTCCGAAAAGCAAGCCTCCACCATCACCCTCTGTCTTCTACTATCAAGCCAACCAGAGTCTTGCTCACAATCTGGGCAAGGAATTCTGCCCATACTAAACCAGGCATCCTACTTTTGGATCATGTTGCTGAGGATACTGTGTAGATGTGAAATGGTTGGCTTTAGGATATTCTAGATATATTTGTGCAGAAGTGGGAAGGAGCACCATTTAAAGTGATTCTTAGGCTAGCTTGATTGGCATGGGACTATTGTGCAACTGAATGAAGAAGAGTTGGCGTTGGGGGAGAATTGTGCGGTTACCTGTATGGACGGGTAAGGAGGAATAATTTGCCAAAGTTGCTGTCTCGTAGGATGTAACTTGTGACTTTTAGGGCCTTTTTAAGGCTGTGTTGTGATGAAAACTTGATCATAGAAGTTCAAATATAGCTGACTGTATTCCTTTAAACAATCTAACATGTACATTAAAATTAAAAATGAGATCAGTCTGCAAACACAATATTACATAAGAGGAGAGGGATATCAAAACAGTATGTAGATACTAGATTCAGTTCACAGGTGTTTGAAATGTCTTTCTAAAACCGATCCAATATACATTTTGCAATATAGCTTTTGATTTAGGAGTTTTTATCAACCTTCGATACATTTTGTGAGCAACGTAGTTACTAGGGAGTCTACAATAGTTACCAAAACTGATGTGGTTATTAAGAAAAGCGTACAGTATATAATCTAATTTCTTGGATGTAGGGTGGGAAGCTATTTGTCAATTAATTATCACCTGACATGGGGATGTTATCTGTCGTCCTAATTATCTGGACAATCACTTAGAGTACCGCTTTTTTGAATTGAGATTTTATGAAGCACTTCAGTTACTGCAATGCCATGTACTGCTATCACTGGCTGCCTTCCATCACTGACACTCTATTTAATGTGGTGGATGGGGGGTGGATCAAGCATCTTTGATCAAGTCTTGTCATGAACAAAAACAAATGCTAGAAAAGCTCACCAGGTCTGGCAGCATCAATGAGGAAAATATTAGTTAACATCTAGTGACCCTTCCTAAGAATATCATGAATGTAATTGAGCTTCTTGAGAGTTGGTGCTGGACTCATCCAAAGAAGTGGAGTGTGTTCTATTGTACTTCTGATATGGGGATAGTGCACAGGGCAATGAAGGAAATCGTCAGCCTTTCAGAATTCATTGTAGCTTAAGTTCCAATTGAATACATCTATTCACGTTGCAATTGTATCTTGTGCAGCTATAAAGGCTGTTCCATTCACAACATTTGAGGAGTCCCTTTTGCCAGCTTGTAACACCGCTGTCCAGTTATCTTTATCCCCTCCAAGTTTGGGTGCTTACCATGCATTTCCAATGATAATTAAATACATTTAATTTTCACACCTAAGTGTTTGATAA